GAGCCTTCTTCAGGTGTGAGAGAGACAGGGCCAGTCTCTCTCACACCTGAAGAAGGCTCCACGGCCGAAACGTTGTGTTCTCTTTCTTTTTTTCAGCATGGAATAAACCTATTACTTGTTCCTTTGCAGCCTACGCATGCTGACGCAGCTACCCACCTGAGTTGCTACTGTATATTCCTTTAAGAATAAGTGCATTTAACTTTAATGTGCTCTATTAGACTGAGAAAGGCTCTGCTTAAAAGATCTTTCTTTCTAATGTTTATTGTTGGCATCCCTTTGTACTTACTGTAAATTCAGTCTGCTATCCCAACTGCCAACACTAAAACTGTGCCACGCTAAATTGCAAAACAAATTGTTTTTTTTAACTTAACATAACTGCATCACTGTGTGTTCACCAGCCTATACATGTAATATGCACATAAATATTCTTTTTGACATAACTGGAGATGTGTGAAGTGTACTTGAAGTAAAATGTATGCAAGCCAAATTACACTTGTAATTCCAATGTAATATGTGCTCAGCAGTGGGGACTCCATCTCTAACATGTTTGATAGGCTTGACATTTTCAGATGTCATCTTGTCTCTTCCTGTCCTAAAGAAACTGTCACCTGTTCTGATATATTCTTTCCTACACTGCTAAGGAAATGCGTAAAGCAGGTTAAGCCTTGCAGATTTAGCTCAGGGCAGAAGTCTTGCAGAAAGAGAAGGGTTTTAAATGAAACAGAACAGAGCTGTGATTGAAAGGTGGAAAGAACTGAGGTTTAAATGTAGTAACTTGGGTGGGTTAATTTGTTCTTTACCTACAGTAAATAAACCCAGCTGTTAATAAAATTTAGATTAGTTGTGCATCCCCCATAAGATTAGAGATAAGAAATGAAGAACTAATTTAAGAGCAAATGCCTCCATTCTAGATGCCATAACTTATAGGAGACCTGATTGTTGGTGATACTGGGTCTTTTAAATCTACACTGTGCAATGCAGTGTAGTGTGTTCAGTTAATCAGATTCACAATGCTGGGCAGCAATCAGGCCAATAGGTTCAGTGCTAAGAAGGCTGGGCAGCAGTGAGTATTATGTGGTAAGATATACAAATAGTTTTTCTCTGATTATATTCAGTGAATTTCATTGATCAATCAGCTATTTGACCTAAAGTATAATAAAGTAAAATAACTTTTTGGTGGATTTGTTTTCTATTTTTAATCTTGTAGAGTGGAAAATGTAGAAAAGCCAAACGCGAATCATCAACTGAAAATATAACGGGCCAGAAGAGTGGCGCAGTGGTCAGCATTGCTGCCTCAGAGCTGTGGCCCCTGGGTTCAGTTCCTGGGATGCTATGTGTTTGGAGCTTTTTTGCATAAGTTTCCTTTGGGTCCCCTGGTTTTCTACCTAAGTCCAAAAACATGTTGGCCCTTGGTGTCTGTGTTTGTGTCTGTCTGCCCTACGATGGACTGGCATCCTGTCCAGGGTGTACCACGCTTGTCAGGGTAGGCTCCAGCTCCCCTGTGACCCTGAACTGGAAGAGCCATTTAGCAACTGGACTGATGAAAATATCAGTTCAGTTTATTTGTCGTATGCAAAAGTGCAATGAAATGAAATGCTTTGTATGTATGCTCCTTTACAGACATTAAAGCACTCGCCAAAAACATAAACGCAGTAAAGCAGCAGCAACAACAACAAGTTAAATAACGTGAGAAAAAAACACATCAGTGTGAGACAGTGGCAGGCTCACACTAATGTGTTTTTTTTCTCACACTGCTTGTCTGGTTGAATGTGTCATTGCTTCAAATTATTCAATTATTTTTTATTTGAAAAAGGTTTGATATCTTCAGTTTTTGTTTCCTCATTTTATGGCTCTGTGTCTGATGATCACTTTTCTTGAATTACATACAAAAGTGCATTTACAAAAAAATGTGCAACATGCTTTTGGGGGAAAATAAATAATTGGCACTAACAGCTCTGACCACTTAGACAGCACTTCCAGCTTTGCAAAGTACAGCCGTACAAAAATGAAAGAAGGCCTTTGGAAGTGTCTGCTCATATTGTGGCTTCTGTTATTGTGAACAGATGATTAGCACACAAATGTGGAGCTTGGGTGGAGAATTTCCTTGTTGAAACAGATTTCATTTGAAAAGCTGGGACTGCTAATAAATTACTGGGAACAAATGGTCTAACTCTGTCCAAACAAAATATAAGAGAAAAATGCACACAAAGAGCTCTGTACTTTATCACGGCCCTACAGCTGTGGCCTAGAACTTCTGCTTCTCTCTGGCGTTCTTTATTATGATGCAAAACTCCACTTTATGGAACCATGCATTTTCCTCTGTGGGGTGGTTTAATGCACTGTCATGCGGAAATTTGCACTTTACTTTTTTTCTCCCCCACACAGAGATTGTGGATGGCAATGCCAAGATGACCTTGGGAATGATCTGGACCATCATCCTCCGGTTCGCCATTCAAGACATCTCTGTGGAAGGTAAAGCCTTACTTTGCCCCTCTAGAGCTGTCACGTCTTGTCGACTTGGCTGTGGAGGGCATTTTGAGTCAGTACTGGTACAGTTGGTCATTGCTTCTCCACTAGATATTCATTCAGTGATATGTGTAGCAAATCTTGTGGAAATACCTGTCCAATCACTCTAGAATGTGGATAGGTTCATACTGGAGCAAAGATGCGAAAAGAGCTGACTTGACTAGGCAGAACAATTATTTCCAAACAAAAATGTCAAACCAGATGTTGATTATGGGCTGTCCTGACTGGTTGGGAGCTCTTGAGGTGAGATTTCGTGTGTGGGTTGAGCTCTGTGCTCTTGTGACAGTTCGGGATTCACAGCTGGCTCCGTGTCACATGGGACACCAGGGGGATGAGTCAGCCAGCACTCTCTCAGCTCCTGGCGAAACAGTGGTTTCCCAGGCACCTGCAGGCTGATGGTGATGCCAGAGAGGAATTTGTCTCTCGTCCAATCAGTGCGGAACATCCTGTATGTCGCTGCAGAGCTTGTGGCGAGTCACAGGATGAATGGCTTAACTGGTGGGTGAGTCAGAGGAGTCTGTCTGCTCTTCCTCAATCTCCACATGTAGGTACTGGAATCACTGCTGTTAGCCAAGACTTATGTAGTCTGTTTAAAACAGGCTGGAGTTACAGTATATTAATAAGGTTATTTTTAGAAGAATTGATTATAGAACTGGTGTAATGAATCATCATGCATATTTGCCTGATTCTAAAATATGGAAAAATAGATATTCCTGAAGAATTGAATTGAAAAACCCATCATGACCAAAAGCTTTTACTGCAAGATGAAGTGTTATTGTCAGATGTATTAGAGACTTAATCTTGCAGATCTACTGCCGAATGAAATTTTAATGTCATTACTTCAGTCTTTATACCTGATTGTTTTTCTTATACACAGTATATATTTTTTTTTTTATTTCTTACATTTACTGGAACCTTTGCTTTTAGAGATGCAAAAATGTCTAGGGAAGTGTCATGTTGCCTAGACATTTGGTGAAGAAAAATGGGGGATTTTTAAACCAGCGTTTGGAGGAAGTGTGGCCTTCTCTGCTACACTGTGTTCAACTGTTCTTTGGGGTGTTAAGGGTAAGGGCACTTGATCCACAAAGAACACGAGCCAGTTGAAAAGCTTTTGGACCATGTATTTAGAAAAAGGCAGCTACTGTGTTTCAGCAAAAAATACTGCAGCAGTGTGTTTGGGGGGGGGGAGAAACTCATACTAGATTTTTGAGCCGGTAGCTGCGTTGGCAGTGGCAGGACATGTAAAGGTTAATCCCACATTGAAAAGTAGAATGAAAGAACAGTGTTTCAGGTGTGAAATATGTCCTGTGAATATCAGGGGGGGTGGTAATGATGCAATTAGTGTTAGTATAAAGAGTAAATGCTTCCTCAGTTGTATTGTGTAGTAGAAAGTTAATTGCACACTTGTAGAAGGCTTAATACTGCATCTTTTTTCTATAGTTCAGTGTACACTTTTTCTACACTTGATTTGCTCCTAGATGCTTTTGTTTTTCTTTTATATAAAAACCTCAAACCAGTTGTCCATTAGCTTGGCTCCAGCTCTTTAATTCTTCCACCAGCTCATTTGGTTTCCACACTTGGTTCTATGCTGTGTATAGTTAGGCTGGACTGGTTGAGATGCAGCTGGTTCACATGTGCCCAGAAGACTCTAGCCCAGTTTGGAAGTGCATTTAAAACCCAGAACAAGAGGCACTTCTTTACAGAAGGGGTTGTGGGATTCTCGAACAAGCTTCCCTGCCATGTTGTGAAGCTGATACTCTGGCTTCTTCCAAGAAGCAGCTGGATGAGAACCTTGGATCAATTAACTAATAACGACCAAGCAAGCTACAGTAGGTGGGCCAGATGTCCTCCTCTTGTTTGTGTTCTGTATTGTAGGAATTTAAGACGAGTGTCAAAGTTCAGGACACTCCTCAAAGCTCAGGAGCTCCTCAAACTCTGAACTATTCTCGATACAGAGTGTGTTCTGTGTCCATGTCTGATTGTCCAGCACAATTTGCCCCTCTTCACAGAGACGTCTGCCAAGGAGGGACTGCTGCTGTGGTGCCAGAGGAAGACAGCACCCTACAAGAACGTCAACATCCAGAACTTTCACATCAGGTGAGGTCATCTTAAGGTGATTCAGCACCACACTCTTCACACCTTACTGGGATACAGTACATCTCCACAAACTTTCACTCTGTCTGTAACTTGAGCCCTTGCCTGCGTTCACCAAAACCTAAGTCTTAAGGTACTGTTGGTCTCATGTATGGGCTTCTAAGGGAGACTTTCAAAGTGGACACATCAGTGGCCAGCAATGTGGTCAATAGAAGGGCGATTTAATTATATTTTGAGCCTCATTTAGCAAGAAACTGGAGATCACTGATGTTATACCATTTCCTGTCCCACAGTGAGAACACTCTCACAACTAACCACAGTACTGTAGATTTCTAGCAGGTAAGCCAAAATGGACACCGAATTAGAATCGAACAATTCTGAACATAGAATTGCTATTCTCAGATTTTGGATGCTAAAACAAATGGAATTTCTGAGTAGGTGAAAAGTGCTTTTCTTTTTCACTTTTGCATTTGTTTGCAAAATTCTGATTGTAAAATCACTCAGACAGCCAGATCAGGATATTCAACATGAATAAGATGATAAATATCTTGACACAGCTGACAGAGTTTACTCTGTAAGAGCTTTGTGTGGCTGTACCTGCTGCAATACCTATTGTTCGCTGCACTGTATCACACTCTGAATGTCTTGTGTCATCCTTCTATTAAGAGGCCAGACGTCCATGTCTAAATGTTAAATGAGGTGCAGATACAAATGTGTTTATTTATGGTTTTGGATTTCATTGTACGAAGCCGTGACCGAATATGGTTTAAAAACCTGTTTTAACTGCTGGTCCTCAAGGAGCCGTGTTACAGGGGTCAGAGAGATAGTAACAGTTGCAGATGAGATGGACTTCAAAGTTATTTTTTTCTTGTTTGTGAGCCCTGTGTGTGGGTATACCATGTTTTTCTAATAAAATAAGTCAACTGTCAAGCAAACCCCTGACAATTCTGGTGGGTTAATTTATTCATAGGAACTTGGGGACCGTGTTAATTTGCCTTGCTTTTATGTTAACAAAGTGCTGTGAAAATGGATATGTGGCGAGTTCATGGCCTTAAAATCATTTTAAGTTCCCATACATATTAATGGAGGTTTTTTTGAACTGACTGGGTGGGAGTCAACAGTACTTTTTTTTTTTCTGGAAAGGAACATTAAAGTGACTACCTGGGTTGTGCCCTTTTGAGTTGGAGGGTTAGATCTTATTTTCTGACATTGAACACAGAAGGTTTCTGAACCTACTGGTGCTTTGAAGATGAAGTTAGTGCTTCCGTTATCTGTCAAAAAAGCTGCTGGAGTTTTCTTTTTCTGCTTTTCCTGATGCAACACACCTCCTTGCTTGTAACAGACGCCTGTTTTGTCAGGTGATCTTGTGGATTCTCAGGCCGAAGATTAAATGTCGACAACAGTGCCAGTGTGTACAGGTGACGTCAGAATCTCTGTAAGGAATTCAGGTCTTCAATGTGCCTTGACTGCACAAAACAAGCCCTGAAAAGTGAAGGCACACTCCCCAGGTTATACAGTGCATTTTGTAAAAGTCGTTGTTGATGATGGGTCTTTCTGTGCCCAGTTACTTTTCCATTAGCACTCCCTAAATTTGGAAACTCCATTTACTAACAGGCATGGCTTAACTTATCTATGCAGCACTTGTATCGTAAGGTGGACAATGAGTGTGGATGCTTTCCTGTGAAAAGGGAATTTCCTTTCTCACCTATGATGTTGCAAGCTAGCAAACACCCTGCAAGTCTGTAAGGGTTATAGCCACACAGAAAGACCAGACTGGCTTTTTACTACCTACTCAATTGTGGCGGTACCCAACCAATTATGAGCTGTTGCTTGGGAAATTCCACTCACAGTGGGCTGGTGAAATAACCTGTGCTCCAAAAATATTTTTTTACAGGCTGAGCCATTAGCAACCTGCCCTACAGATGGGTCTGTTGAAGACCCCTAGACGCAGCCGTGATTCGTTCCCAATACTTTTCTTTGGACCCCCCACTGTTTAAGTTCTCCTCTTTATTTGGTTTGGAGGTATTGCCAAGGTGTGCTCCCTTAATGGGTATGTAAAATGAGATCTTGGAGTATTTCCCGTGGGGAAAAGGGAACTATAAAACGGTAACAGACTATTCCAGTAATGTAGCAAATCTGAGCTCCAGGTTGTTCACTAACTGGCTATTCTCTTGGCTCTGTCTTTCTCTCCACAGCTGGAAAGATGGATTGGGATTCTGTGCTCTCATTCATCGACATCGTCCTGAGCTCATTGACTATGGAAAACTTCGCAAGGTGAGAGCAAACATGAACCGATTTAGGGCCAAAAGTAGGAGACTTTTCCTTACACAGAAATGATGGGTGTCTTGTTCAGATTGCCCAGTCATATTGTGGAAACTGATTTTCTGCAGTGGCTCTGGGTTTGTGACACTCTGAGGCTGATTTACTGCTGGCCACAAAGCCAAAAGAGCCCCTGTCATTTATAAGCGTTGTTAGGTCACTGTATTTTGTCAGGGTTGGATCAGAATAGAAATAGATTCACTATGCTTTAAAGTTTATCACACTACATATCAAATATCTTAGAGCTGCAGGGGAATATCCTGATTTCAGTCCTCACACCCACACTGAAGTGTCGGGTCTCTGTCTGCCGAGCTTCCAGTTGCTGCAAATCTGTTTCTTTGCTCTCAGGAGAAGCATTTTGTGTCTCTATTAAGCCAGCGATGGCATCGTTGGCTGGGGGAGACGAACACTGAGTAACCTGCAAGCACCACGCATTTCATTATACAAGCACTCCATGGGGGGGAGGACTGATGGCTGTAGTTAATGAAAGGGCTTTTTTTATAGGGAGAAAATCGTTCAAAAAATTACTACCTTCTAAAAGTGATACAGCACTTCTAAGTTAAAGCGCTGTGGCCTTTAACATTTTATACAGCAGCCTTTTGAGATCTCAGGACTTTGGAAATGGAAAAAGGACCTGTACCTTTGACATAATCAACACAATGTTGGTTGTTCATTCCTGAGTGGAATAATCCTAGCTTTTCAGAAGTATGAATTAAACTTTTCAGTTAAGTATTAAATTAAGATTTCTTTTGCCTTTTATCTCTTATCTTTTATAATGTTTTAATAAATGCAATACAATCAAACATTGAAGTTTTTTTGGACCTTTTCACGAAAATGGATAGTTGATTGTGGTCAGTAAGTCTAACTGTTTTTTTGTTTTAGTGCTGTTCAACTTCTTTGAAAATGCATATAGACTTCCTTAATATTGCCGTTTACCACTATTATTAGCGAGGAGAATCTGCTGCCTGTTCTTCTTGTGTCCTGCCCTGTTGAGGCTCATTTCACTGTCTCCCCCACAGGATGATCCAATGACCAACCTGAACACGGCCTTCGATGTGGCGGAGAAGTACCTGGACATTCCCAAGATGCTGGATGCTGAGGGTGAGAAGCAGGGATGGTGTTTAGGGGGCTTGGGTTGGGTCAGGGCCCATGTGACTGACATACAATAATAACAGTGAATTAATTTTTTTTTGTCAGTTGATCTGACAGATCTGGTCAGATCTTAGGAAAGTCTGGCCATGTCTATGAAGTAAATTGGTGTATCTAAATTCATTTATGCCGTGTGTGCCCTGTGATTGCTGTGTCCCTTTCCACCTTGTGCCCTATCCTTCTAGGACAGGCTTCATATAGTCATGGGCTTCATCAGGACTAGGCGGGTTTCTTATAAAAGACGGATGTGCCAACACTTAAACAGGTCAGGGCTCCCAAGTGGCTGCTAAAGGAGCTTGTCACTGAGTGCTGGTTGGGCTCTGGTGGACTGGGAAATAAGAAAAAAAACATTGAACCTGAATCACATCACTAGCTGACTGTGACCGTGATTTCCCAAATGTCGTAGCATAATTGGCTGAGCACCGCCAGGGGAGATCTCGAGCTAGTTGCCTAAGCCTGTCCTAACTCCTGACAAACGCCCAGCCCTTGTGATCTCCTGGGCACCTGCAGGCTCTCAGTGATGTCAGAGACACACTTCCAGCTGATGCCAGCCCTCAGATGAGTCACTGGGAGCCTTTGACATGTCAAAAGATGAATGGCTTATTGGGAGGGCACATTGGAGGTGCGCTTTCCATTTTCATTCTGAGAGCAGAGATATAAAGACACAATTTGGTGAGCAAAATAACTGACAGTGGTGAATGTTTCTAATGTTTCTTATGTTTCTTCAACTTCAACAGTTCAGAAACTAGACCATGCACAAAATACGTTAAGATACTTTATGGAATGAGGAAGCACCAGAATAAGAGTTAAAAAAAATGACACTGAAACATCCTCATCAGGGTTCTGCAAGAGCAGCATAGTGTCAAAGCCAAAACCAAATTCTGAAATATACTATATCCAATCTACTCCCGTTCTTCCATTCTGATTTTAATTTGAAATCTTTTTCTTTTCTTGTCCCTGAGGTCTCCCATTAAATATAGATTTTGATTTCAAGGGAACCTATAGAGGCAGTAGATTAGTAGACACTTTCTTGTGTTAAACAGTGCTGCAGTTGGACTTCTATGAAAATAGAATAAATATAAAAATACAATAAAATGCAAAATACACTTCAGATAATTGCATTTTGAGACTTTATTACTTCCCTTGTGGATGTTTTCCAGACCAGGATGATCTACCTAAGTATGCAAAACTGACTTTATTTATCAACATGAAATTGTGCTTGTCCTACAGACTGCTGTAGATCTTTTTTTCAAAGAACCATTGATTTTTGCTAATGCAATTACAGTAAACAAATTTCATTGGCTTAAACTTGGCCCTTGTTTTTCAGATTTTAAGTTTCCATGTCCACTTTAATGGGGAAGCTGTGTAATCACAATTATTCGTGCGGTGGCAAAATGGAACAGTCTATCTTGGGGGTTCTGTTGAACAGACACAGCTAGGAAACTGTTTTCTTTGGAGACAAATTATTTTTTGCCAGGGTTCATTTTACCAGTATAGAAAAGTGGCAGTTCACCAATGTGTCCAAACAAAAGGAAGCAGAATTCAAGTTGATCTGTGGTGATCAAGATGTTCTTTTTCTTAAACAAAAATAGGTTAATTTCCTTTCTCTCTCTTCTGCTCTCTGTTTTGGATTAACCCTGGTTTTTGTTTCCAGCCAGCTCTCATGTGTCACAAGCAAGTTGGGGGTTCTGAGAATCAGTCCATGTCCTCTGTTCTCAGTCCATCTTGGGACAGGTTAGATATGAGCAGCTAGGAGGTGACCCAGGGTTTTTCCATGCCTTCTATCGATGCCACATGTCATGAGAAGAATGGCATGAGGCATTCAGTCCCCAGCATATATCTTAACCATACCTATGTGACCTCCAGCAGAAATTGAATTCCTGCTGTTCACTGTTCAGTATTTCCATTATCAATCTTTCAGGTTCTTACTTTCAGCCATTAAATCTGATTAATTTCTTAAAACAAGCAGAACCAAACAGGGCACAGAGCACAAGTGCTGTGGAAAAGGACAGGTGATGATGATGCATTTACATAACCGATACTCATTTTGTGGTATTACAGAAGACATGCTGCCAAATGATGCCCTTGACAGGTCAGCCTGGCTGTTGATTCCAGGCTGGCCTTGATGTGATGGATGAAACGTCTAGCTAATTGAAAATACTTGCCTCAAACCTTCATCCCACCCTACCCCCTCCCTTCCCTCCTTTTTCTCCACAGACATTGTTGGCACAGCCCGCCCTGATGAGAAGGCCATCATGACCTACGTCTCTAGCTTCTACCACGCCTTCTCGGGCGCCCAGAAGGTATCCCAGGATGCACATTTCCTCCTTCCCCCACCCTGACAGAACCTGGTTTTGCCTCTGTCTCTTTAACAGTCTGTTTTCTCCCTCCAGCTCACAGCTCCTCCCCCTTCGGGACACTCTCTGCTTCTGTTAGCATGGGCCTTTTCACCAACTTGCATGATGGGATTACTCAACTGTCACACCAGTGGGATAAGCAATCTCCAGTCTGACCCCTGTCCTTGATTTCTCTACATTCTGTTCTTCACTCTGTTATTCTGGGCCCACTGCTTTTGGCAGGTGGATCGAATTTGACTGGAAGTGATCTAAACAGCCATGCCAGAGTTTTTACACGCAGTCTTGTTAGGCTTGCAAGTGGATGTATGAGTAGATGAACAGATGCAGTTGTTTCTGAGCTGGAATGGACCAATTCAGAACAATCACTGTTCTCAAAAAGCATTTACTTAAGCCTTGTAATCATCAAATATATAAACAATATTGCAGGATGAGAGATTAATATTTCTAAAATTCACTTTCTTAAAATGTGACTTTTTTTTTCCTATACAGTACAACGAGTTTGGGTGTTTTTTGTCTGAAGGAGTGCCACATTCAAAAGATTTTCTTGCCAGAAGAATTTAATCTTCTATAGCCAAGATTATCATTCATCATCAGATGAGAACAGGATTGAGTGATGGGAATTTTTTTGCTGCAAAAATGCTGAGGAGATTGCAGATAAGAGTGCCGAGATAATAAATAAAATCATCAGTAAAAAAAAAGTTTTCTTATTGTTGAAGGAAAAGCATTTAAAAAACTGCTTTGTCAACAATCTGTTGCTCCCAGTTGGCAGATGGCATTTTCTGAAATGCTGACGCTTGATTTAAGTTGTATCCATATATCTTGCTAGGTTCATTCTTTCTGCACAGAAGGTGGAACTTTGATTCCTGCCTTGTGAAACCGAGTTGAACCTTGAAAAATTCCAGGATCAGATGTGAAGTTCAGATCTTCATAAGATTCTGCCCACTTCTGCCCACTTCTGTGGATAAATCAGACCGACAACCCACAGAGTGGCTTTATAAAGGATTCAGGGCTGACATCATCCCAAGTCTTAAACTGCACATCTGGAAAACAGCAACTGGAGGAGTGCAGTGTGGTACACAGATGCAACAGTATTAGAACTTAAGATGGAATAATGGAATGGTCACCTTAGAGCCCATGAAGTACTGCAAATATTTGTCGATCGATTTATTTTAAGGAGGAGGATTTTCCTTTTAAGAAAAGCATTTCTTAGGAGTTACTGGCTTTTAATTTGGTTTTGAATTTAACAAGTGGTTTTCTGGGTACCGTACTGTGTTGAGAAGGATAAACACTTGATGCCACAACTACGTTTTTCTGTTCGAACTGCAGGGTTTCTATTGGCGCGGTGCGGCTGCGATTTAAATCGGATGTTTCAAGGTTGCTTGCTTATGCTTTAGATTGTGTTTTAGGAGAGATGACTCCTGACTATAAGTGATCTATTTTAATGGTGAGGTCAGCACATATCACCTGTGTATTAAACTCTAAGATGGCTCACTGCAAAATTCACTTTCTGAAGGAAGAAATTCACTGAATCCGGCCAGCCAGCCTGTGGCACGCCACCCCCGCCCTTTGACCTGGAGACTGCTCGGATTTCTGCTCCCTCCCTGGTTTTGTGGTCGTTTGCTGCCTTTCTCTTTGCACTCTTTTACTCTGCGCGTTTTTTCTTTCTTTCTTTTCTCTCCCTCTCTTTCCTGCGCAGATATCATTAGCACGCTGAGGCCAGACGAGAAGGCCATCATGACCTATGTGTCTTGTTACTACCACGCATTCTCAGGCAAACAGAAGGTGAGCCCCTTCCCACTCAACCCCCTCCTCCCCCTCCTCCACACCCAGGCCTGCACTCCTGGTCTTTTGAGGCAGAGCCTGGAGGGCGACACCACTCCAGCAAGCAGGGCTGATGGCTCTCTGTGCCCCATGCTGTGATTAGATGCGAGAATTGTCTGCCTGGCCTCGTTGGGGAATGTGAATGAGGAGGGCCACATTGTAGTCAAGGCTCCCATTCCATAGCAGATTAGTCCTCTTCAGGTTTTCCGTAGATCCAGGCTGCTGTAGAAAACGAAGTGGGTTATCATGAATACCCAGTGGATTTAGTATTGTTTTAACTTCACATTTTGCCGTCTTCAGTGTCGCTTTCTTGAAACATATTTCACCCACTGTTTGCTTTGTAAGAGGCTCCAGTGCAGCAAAGCTAAAATGGTTTTCCTGCATTGCAATCAGTTTTTCAAGAGCATTGCTATCCTAACTTTTAACACTCACTCACACAACCCTTTGCTCACATTTTTCAATAGACCGTTTATTGGAGTCATTTCAATTTTTATAGACAATTGTTGGAGTAATTTCACTCTCATTGACAATTCACTAACAGGTGCATTCTATTGCTCTTAGCTATTTCTTGCCAAGGCCAGGCTTGTTAGTAACTCCAGATGGTCCTATTTTCAGTCAGAAAAGTTTGGAAAGAAGGCTGATCGTGTTACACTTATTTTTTTTATGAGGAGTTATTTTTCATTGTAAATATAGAAATGTATTAAAAGATAAATAATACCAATGAATCAGTCTGCGAAATTCCTAATTTCTTTAACCTTGCCAGTTTTTGAAGATTAACATCGTTTTTCGTTAATGCTGGGTGTTTTCTCCTAAATGGAGTCTGGTGATTTCCTGTGGTATTTCCTGTCTGAGACCTTGAGTTTCACACCTCTGATTTCCTGACCCGCTACTGCTGTATTAAAGGCCCTCTTGGCCTCTAAACAAAGAGGCCCTGTATGATGATTGTACAATGTGTCATGTACCACATCTGTCAGCATTTACAGCACAGTATCTTTCCTTGCCACAACAATATGGTGGTTTTGAAAATGCGAGCAGTAATTACTCAAGTATGTAGAAAATGCCTTGATCTTGCATGATCGAGCAGGTTCGGTGACTCAGTTTTAGCAGAGTGGTTTGGAGACAGAATAGTTGAAACAGTCCAAAGCATGGTATATTCCCCAATTTCTGATGACTGTAAGGTAGTAGCAGATCAGGCTTTTCCTCCGTGTGCTATTTTATGGGTAAAGAAAGCTGATGTGAACTTGCCAGAGGGATGACTGTTGTAACTGGGACATGATTGAAGGCGTTTGCTCACCTCTTGTCAATTCAGACAACCTCAAGGGCATGCACGCAGTGGTTGGCAAACAAAATACGAGCAAGATGAGACTTTCAGGCCATTAGAAGATGCTGATCCCGTGGCATTTCTCCATGGAATCATCTATCAGTAGTGACAAGCCAGCCCCCCACCATAAGTGCTGTTCTCTTTTTGGTCTATGGGTGAAAAGTCCAAAATTAATTTCTGTTAATCTCAAAAGTATTTCCCCTATTTGCTCTGGCAACCCTGAATTAGTTCAGGGGCGCAAGATTACTTGGCTAATAATTGGGCTAGTCGCAAAATTAATTGAGTGCCTTCTAAGTGTAATTATAGTAGTTCACATCTTTGCAACGTTCAATCATGAAGACCAAGGATATTTCAAAACAACATGGTGAGAAAGTTGTAGAAATGCATAGGTCTGGAGAATGGAATACAGGACATGTGTTTAGGAGACCCTGAATGTCCCTTTGAACATGATGGAGTTGATAAATGGGTGGATTGTACCACCCAGGCACCGTCTGGTGAGACTGGCTCAATATTAATACAGTGAAATTTTTCTGAATTGTCTTGGTCATTACCTTTGAGTAAGTTTGATTACTTGTATCGGGTCTTCTCAATATTTTTTCTCTTCAGGACTGAAGGGGTTTAGTTCCTTCAACCTGGCAGTGTAGATGGTCACACCATTTCTGCTGTCAAGCATGATGGTGCCAGTATTGTGTTGTTGGCCTGCTTCTCATCAGCAGGGTCTAAGAAGTTGACAGGGTGGGGGGTGGTAATGGATGTTGCAAACAACAAGCAAATCTTAGAGGAAATCCTGATTTGGTCTGCTAAAGACATAAAACTCAGACAAAAATTCACCTTTCAGCAGGACAATGACCCAAAGTGCAAGGCCGAAGCTATACTAGAGTGGCTTAAGAATAGGAAAGTACATGTCCTTGAGTGCCCAGTCAAAATACATATCTGTGTCCTTTTTAGAATTTTATGATGAGAAAATTGAAAAAATTACTGCCCAACCAACTTGACAGAACTTGATCAAGTAGAATGGTGGACAATCGCTGGACACTTATCCAACAACAAATCATTTGATGAAAGTAAATAGATTTTCAAGAAATTTAAGTTTCTTTTTATCCATTAAGTTACCCACTCTCTTTGTTTCTTTAGTCTTCTGAGGCTCATCCGAAGACTAATACAAATACAATCCTGTATCGCTAAACACTGAGCTTGGTAGCTTTTCCAAATTAATAAAAAGCCATCTGACTTAATCCCACAGATTCTTTCCAGATGTTTCAAGCATTTGAAAGTCTTGATTGCATAAAAAAATTCTCTGAAGAGTGATGTTTAAAGCAAATCACTCAGTTTCGGCACAGAAATTCAGATGAGAATATAATATTTCATGGAAGTAAAATTCCTTATTTAGAAGTTAAGCATTTCAAATGTTTCAAATAAATAAAAGTCCAGAAGGAGTGTATTATTTTTTTTCTCGTTTTACGCAACCCAAAGCCTGACTTTTCCTCACGTCGAAGGCACTAGGACCTTCCTTTTTTAGTGTTTTCAGTCTTATTTCCCAAATTGTCATTTTTGTGCAGTTGCTGCTAATAATTACTCTTTAGATTCAGCAGAACAAAAACAGTCACTAAGCTTTATAATCTGTTTTCTGTTTTTTCAAAATCATTATTCTGTAATATTATATGCTGCTTTATCTGAGACAACTTACTTAAAATAATTCATATTTGTGTAATAAAGTATAATGATTTCATAGTGGTAATTATCTCATAGTGAAATAATAAGGCAATGACATTAAATCAAAGTTAAGAGTACTTCGGTGATGAAA